TTACCTCTTGTACCTAAGATTTAACTCCATGAATTACCAATGAATTAACTGAAATAACAGAAAGACCCATGTTACTTTCACCCATGGTAGACCTTTGCAAAGAGTTTCCAACTGGAAGGACTAGGTAAGAGACGATAGTTTAGGATACAATTTATTTTAAGGACTTTCCTCAATAAACACAATTGGGCCCTTTGCCCATCGAGTCCATATTTTCCATATGCAATTTTTTAATTGTACACCCTGCGTCCAGTGTTTTTAATTATTCAATTCATTATGAAATTCACAATAAGAGAAGGACTCATCAAGCAATGAGGATGATTCATGAGAAGGAGCCGTCTGCTGTCACGCTACTTTGTCACATACAGAAGCACAATGTGCCGTCTGAGCTCTCTGTATGAGATGCTGTTTTAACAAAAGTACTTGTTTAGGTTCGGGCAAAGGGCTGCAGGTTGGATTCGGACCCAGGCCGCTGTGGTAAGGACCCAGCCCATGCACATGGGGCGCAAGCTCCACCAGGTAGAAGGGCAGCTTTAACTTGGTCACTGGTCTCAAATAACTGGGAATGGGAATAACTTTCATCCAACAGTAAAATTTCAAATAAAGGCGAGGAAAAGTTGTTTTTGGATGTAGGCGTTTAGTGTGTGGTTACTGTGTGGTTTGTCTATTAAAGACAATAACAGCAGCAGGGGATCAGTTAATGAGATAGCTCTTAGTTGTTTTTTTGTCGATGATTATTAGTTTAGTTAACACCTTTCTGATTAACAGCTGTTCTCCATTTTCTGTTTGTGTGTCCCTCAGTCTGTCTGTATGGAGTCAGGTGGGCTGCAGAGGAGGAATCTGATGTGTGGGTCAGTGATTCTGTCTGACTGACATGTTGTAGCTGCTTGTATTATTCTGCTTGTTTATCATGTTTTTATTGTCTTCTGTAATTAACAACAGCTTTATGATCACAAGCAGGTAGACGGCCCTGTGTGTGCGTGCGTGTGTGTGTGTGTGTGTCTGTGTGTGTATCGTCTCTGCCTGGTTGTTCTTTTCTGTCTTTAATGAGCCAGAGATTGCTGTTATTATCGTCTGTGTTGTTTCTTCAGCTCACACATTTCTAATGAACAGCTGCTCTACGTCTGAGAGTGTTAGCCAGCAAACACACACACACACACACACACACACACACACACACACACACACACACACACACACACACACACACACACACACACACACCATACAAGTTTGACTAGGGTTTGTGTGCCCTGGGGAATTTTTTGGGACTTGAGGACCATTACAGTTATTTATATGTTTTATTTACTACAAAGCATCTTAAAAATATACTTATACTAACAAAACAGATGTTAGACTTGATATTAGTGTTAAGCAAAGCAAATAATTGCTTGAAATAACACGTAGGCACCACTTTATGAGCCCACTTTGTCTCATCCTCAATAAAAAGAGGAGATGGTGACAGATCTTGTCAAGCGAAATGTGACAATTAGAGATCTTAATGCCAACCAACGGGAGAGAGAGCTTTTTAAACATTGGAAATGGATGTCCCAGGCAACACAACACCATCCTAAAGACTTCTTTTAAACTAAATTAATGTGTTAAATTTGACACCAAACTGGGGTGGTCAGGCATTTTGACATCCCTATAACATGCACCCCTGCTTCCATAGTATGATGGTAACATCCCGACGATATTTCAGAATACAGACACGTGAGCTAGAGCCAGAACAAACATCCAAGGGGGGCATGGCTTGTAGCAGGGGGCACCAAATTACTGGCAGGTAGAGATGTAGTCTTGCATAGTGGAAGCGAAACCATTCGGTGGTATGTGCTCCCCAGAACAAAGAAGAAATCACAAAAATGGTACATTCTCAATGTTTTCCTAATAATTTGACTAAAAACACGAAGAGAAATAACTTAGTTGTAAATGAATGCAAGGACACACAATACATCGGCTGAAATGCAGCCAAATGAAGGAAAGCCGCATTCATTTTCACAAAGCACTCCGGCATGTCCCTCCTCAGGTACAGGGCGGCAAGAAAACATGTCTTCTTACTCTGAAACAGACTCATCTTTCATTATAACACAGTGTAACACACCATACAAACCCCCACTAACCACAGCCTCTAAACGAGTCAATATCTAAAGAAGGTTTATTTCAGCGCAGTAACATTCAACTGCATCAAACTGTACAGACCTGCGTATTTAAGAAAGTGGTAACTATGGTTTCCCAATTTGACGGTGAATATTTTGGCACTTGACTAATTGAGCCTTAATTCGCCCAAAATTAAGAAATAATTAACTGCACAACAATGTCAGTCACCCTGTGTCTCTCCCCCCCTCCCCCCATCCCCTCCCTCTGTGGTCTCGTTAAAGAGCCATAAGTGAGTGACAGACAGGAAGTCAGATCATAAAGGTGTCATTGTGTCACCTCATCTCCTCTGTTCCCATTTCAATTAACAGATTGCTCCTGGTCTGTATTGTCATGACAGATTACCCAGCATGTGGTCTTGTGCTGCTCTTTCCTGGCTGCTGTTTCTGGGCTTTGGAAGTAAGGAAGTAAGTAAGTAAAGCTTTATTAATATACCACCTTTTTGACACAGAGATCCAAAGTGCTTTACAAACAACAAATAAACATAAGGGTATAACAATACCCAATCAAACAAACATAGGGAGCATGTAAATACAAACAAAGGAAGATAAAACAAGAGGGAAAGAATAAATTAAAAGAGAGACGACAGATGAGGAAAAGAAAATCTATAAAAAGGCTTGCCTGTAGAGGTTTTGAGCAGCCACTTAAAACAGTCCACAGATTCAATGAATCTGAGTGATTGGGGAAGACTGTTCCACAATGTTGGGTCTAAAACAGCAAAGGCACGGTCACCTTTAGTTTTGCAGTTGGAGCGTGGAATGGATAAAAGGCCGAGATTTGAGGAATGAAGTGGCGAGGAGTGGAATGAGGAACAAGAAGATCTGAAATGTAACTGGGGGCAAGGTCATGAAGTGCCTTATATTTAATCAGTAAGATCTTATAGTTGATTCAGAATTTTACAGGAAGCCAATGAAGGGATGCAAGGACAGGAGTAATGTGGGACTGACGGCTGGTTCTGGTCAAAAGTCTGGCGGCTGTAAATGATTAAACAAAGCTTGTAGAGGGAGTTACAGTAATCTAGATGGGAGAAAATGAAGCTGTTAATTAATTGTTCAAGATCACTGGAGGACAGGAAACTTTAGATTTTTGCTATATTTTGTAACTGCAGGAAACAGAACTGGACAGGTTTTGTGACATAAAGGTCAAATGTCATATACTGGTCGAAGATGATACCCAGATTCTTAGCAGTGGGTTTGATATTAGTGTGTAATGGTCCAATAAACTGATCAACTGCAGTGAGAAAGATTTCAGGGCCAAATAAAATGATTTCAGTTTTGTCAGGATTTAAATGGAGAAAATTAAGAGACATCCAGTCTTTGGTGGCAGCTAAGCACTCATGGAGAGAGGAAAGTTGATTCAGGTTATTGGGTTTCGCAGAAAAGTAGATCGGTGTATCATCGGCATAACAGTGGTATGACATGTCATGGAAGTGGCTGAACAAATGACCCAGAGGAAGCATGTACAGGGAGAACAGAACTAGACCAAGAACTGACCCCTGAGGGACACCACACAGCAGGGGAGCAGAGGAGGACACATGATTATTAATGCAGACATTAAAGACTCTATTAGACAAATAGGAATGAAACCAGTTTAAAGCTGTACAAGAAATGCCAACCCAGTTCTGTAATCTATCCAATAAAATGGCATGATCGATGGTATCAAAGGCTGCAGTCAGATCGAGAAGAATAAGGATGAAGCTTTCACCTTTGTCAGCATGCATAAGGATGTCATTTGACACTCTCAGGAATGCTGTCTCGGTGCTATGTTATTGGCAAAAACCAGATTGGAATCCGCAACAATCTTTTCAAAGTAGAAAAGTGGAATTCAACGCTATCATCTTGGCTTTTACGCTGATAATTTTACATAGAGCATATTCAAATGCCATGTTCTCCATCTGTTGATATTATTATTCATTCTGCACTACACTGCCTGACCACAGTTGCATGAATGGATCATTAGTCGAAATGCTGTATACCTGCCAGGAAATGAGACTTAAGTTATAGTAAACCTACATTAGATGCATGTGTTTGAAACTTCAGAGCTGCAGTAGGTAGCTTCAAACTATCTTTCTATATTTGTTGAAACTTTCACTATATCCTGACAGTAGTACGTGAGATAGATAATCTGGCGCCTGCTAGTGCTCCTAATAGCATTTGCAATAATCCACAGGTTATTTTCAGGCCTGGTGGATTCTTGCAAATATCATTAGGAGCACTAGGAGGAGCCAGAGGAACCACATCTTATGACCTATTATGTTTTTTCTTAGTTTCTTTCATATATATAATCTTACAGTGTCAGATGTTGATGATTATATCAAACAAGGCCAAAGTGTGAAATAATGAGGTAAACATAGGTAAAATTCAGACTGCTCTGAATGCAATGTCTCCAATGTCTTTTTCTACTTTACGTGAGCGGCCGCTGTCAACTCCAGGCAGTTACTCTGTTGTTGTATGCAGAAAGTGCAGAGAGTATCCTTTGGCATACGGTGGACAATCATACAAGTATATGTATATATTATATTTCGTTTGTTTTCCTAAGCCATGTTTTGTTTTTTAATGGTTGACATGGTTGGAACTCTGCAGTGTGCATAATCATCATTATCATTATTTTGAGATATTAAGTGAATAAGTTTCTCATTATAATAACTTACAGAATACCTTTTCCCGTCACATTGGCGGAAATTGGCTTCCATAGATTTTTATTCCAAAGAGAAAAAAAAGACCGGAAGTCTTTGTCAGCGGAACTCTACAGCGGGCGGACCACATTCACAACGTGTTTTCCAGGGGGACTCATAACAGCGTTGAACACTATGTCGCCTCTCAGCTGACAACCTCATTTGTGAGGTAAGTTCGATACCTTCCAGCCAGAACACAAGCAGAAATACAGACGCGGCAAAATGTCTATGTTTAAGGCTCTTTCTCTACTACTGACCCTACTTCCGTGTTCATGGAACGCTCGTTTAGCGGCACGCACTGCGTCATACTGACACTGTCCACGCACGAGGAGGTAAAAAAACGTCAGTCCGTGAAAATAACGTCAGCAAGTAAACAGCTGTACGTCACTCGTTCTGACGCTTTATCTAAGCTCCATAACCCAGAGTGCATTATGGCACAGGACGGGGAAACAGACATAGCTAGTCCTGTTAGACCTTCCAAAAACACTACAGTATCACTTTAAAGAATGACTATAGAAAGACAAGAAAAAAGCAGTATTACTATAGTATTTCTTTGTTTTTTACTAGTTAGTTATGTTATAGTGAAATGATATGTACACGATAGTGTTTTTATATAAAAATCACTATAGTCATTCCTGTAGTATTTCCAGGGAATTACTATAGTTCTACTATATTTTTGATACAGTATTACTATAGTATGTTCTATAGTCTTTCTGTGGTTTTTCATTCACACTATAGTAAGTGACCATAGTAATACTATTAAAATCAATATAGTAATACTATTAAAAACACTATAGTAATACTTTACATTTACTAAAGCATCATCATAGTATTACTATAAGAATGTTCTATAGTACGTTCAAAACCAACAACAGAAACAATATACAATAGTAATATTATTTCAAATAGAACAGGAATACTACAAAGAGCCAGATACATAGTATTACTAATGAAATATTCTAGGGCTTCTAGAGCTAGTCTGCTCAAAATGAATCCAAATGGCTTGTTTTACTTCCTGCAGTTATTGTGTTCACTGTTTGGGTTCACTGTACCGTTGTATCAGTTGTTCTCTACTGTCTGTTGTTATGCATTCAATGAGATATGTATTATCCATAAAATATGTCAGTCAGTTTACTTAATGATAGAAAAGGGCTCTATTGAGCAGAACGGTTGTGAACCAGTGATCTACAGATATAGACAGAGCTGAAGAGGTCTGTGATGTTTTACAGCAGGGATGTGTGAAGCAGCAGAGAAGGACCTGTACGCTGTCCTGGGAGCCAGCTCCTCAGACTCGGTCCAGCAGCTCAAACGCAGATACCAGCAGCTGGCCTTACAGGTAAGCACACTGCCATGTCTGTCTCTGTAGGCCTGAAGCAACACACAACCACTACTACTACATACTGTGTGAGGAGGTCCCTTCGTCTGTCTGTTCACACAGGGCTTGGCACATAGGCACAGTCCAAACTAACCTCAGACAGAGGCTACAACGTAAAAACATGATTTGTCTGTGTTGATGATAATTCAAGAAATGGCAGCTCCTGTTCAAGTGTAAATGATTAATACTTAATCACAGTTCCCACACATCCTGGAAAACCTGGAAATTTAGAGACTAGTCATGGAAACCACCCTGAAAATGTATTTTTGTAGTGGCTCCCCAGTGGACTGCTGGGTGTTCTTTGATTTATTGGAAACTGAGTTATGTTAAGTTAAGTTAAGTTATGGGTCACTGCAGTCATTGCTCCAGTTCATTCTGGCTACTGGATCCTTAGCTAGCAGAACTCTATGCATGTTAAAATAGAGTTAATAGAGTTAAGTTAGGCTGCAGTCTAACAGAAGTCTTCAGCAGTCTGAGTTTGACAAATAATGTTTGTGTGTACACAGTACCACCCAGATCGTCTTGGAGGTGAGGGTTCTTCAGAAGCGGAGTATGGTGTGGAGAAGTTTCTCGAAGTTGATGCTGCGTGGAGGATCCTCAGTGACCAGAACACCAGGACACAGTACGACCTGCAGCGGAGAGGTAGTTCTTCTAAAACTTAGTTATTATTTTTGTTGATACGATTAATTCCTTACTCCTTATGGCAAAGATCAAGATTTGCATTAAACAATCTGAAGCAATTTTGTTCGGCTTGAAAATTGTGTTTTGGTTTCAGACATTATGATACAGTTCTGAAGTGAGTGTAATCTGTAAACTCCAAAAATCCAAAGTAGAACCAGAGAGTGTACAAGCTGCTACAGAGGACGAGCTGATCCTGCTGGGTTATCAAAGTTAAAGCTGGAATTAAGACTAACTGACCTCATTTCACATCAATACGTTGATGAAGTCATTCCTTCATTAGGCTGCCACCTAACAGTATAAACAATATAACATCCCCTATAATTACAACAAGCAATCTAACTCTACATACACAACCAGTCAATGTTTTCTGTGTGTGTTCATTTTACATATTTGATTCTGCATCATTCCACTGAGGATGTAATGACTGTCCAGTCTAATTCAGACAAACCAAATGACCAAGATGTTGGAGAAATGCAGCTGGGGGGGGTGGGTTCGGATGAAAAAGAGCTGGTACACTAAAAAGATGTCAGGTTGGTTGTGTTGGCACAAGACTGACATGGTAATCCTAACAGTGGAGTTTTAAAGGTGTGTGTGGGTGTGTGTGTGTGTGTGTGTGTGTGTGTGGTTGGTTGGTTGGTTGGTTGGTGTGTGTGTGTGTGTGTGTGTGTGTTCTGATATATACCCCAAAACATCCAACTAATGCAGTGAGTTAACAGAAGCCAAGTGTTCTATGACACTGGTATCATAAATCAATAAGAGGACAGACTCTTGTGCACTGGTGTACTGGCACTGGCTCTGAAGGGTGTGTGTTTTACAGGCTGACTGCATTGAACACTATGAGGAGCGGATGCTGCAACACTAAGCTTCAAGTATATTTGATGAAACTGGCTACCGCAGGCACGAAAGCAGTGTGTAAGTGGAGCCTTTGAGATCTGCTCTGCGTTTGTAAAACAGGCCAGATTTCCATTTATGTTGTTTTACACACAGCCCTTTGACCCAGAAATGGGTCTATATTTTATGACGAGAGAATGAAACAGCAGACTAAATGAAGGCTAGGTTATTTTTAACTAGACATGGGACGACACAAAAATGTAATGTCACGATTATCTTGACCAAAATAATTGCGACACACAATAATATCACAATAATCATGAAACTGCACACATACTTTTAAAATGACTGGAATTACTTTACCTTACATTTTGTTAGGAAAAGCATATATTAATACATCACAGATAGGAAACTCATCTCCCTGTTCTTTATTTTGGAATCTATACTATTTCCACACATCTGGTTTAACTTTTCTTTGTGGGGGATTCAACGGGCAAGCATAGGCTTCAGTCACGGTGACAGGGTTAGGATTCTGGAATGACTGGAAAGATGCAGGCTCCCCCTTGTAGGTTGGAAAGGAGGCTGTGAAAAGTTCTTACTGTTGACAAGGGCCGTAGTCGGCTTGGATTCAGTTACAGTGGATTCCAGTGAGTCACAGAAAGAAACAAGATGTTTGTTTTCTGTTGGTGTATGTGAGTACATTCTTCCTGAAAGCTACAGCCTCTTCCTCATCATCCACCCGACTTTAAATTATCACTAGTTTAGCAGCAATTATTCCTCGCACACAGTGTAACACTAATTAAAACCCCAGCAAAGTTTAGCACTAATTATTCATGGTTCAAAGTCATTATCACTGTCAAACTGAACAACTTGATAATAACCTCAAGAGTGAACTGTAAAACACAAGTGTGTGTGAACATCCATCTGTTCACCTGTCTATCCATTCTTCCATCATCTGTCTAGCTGTCAGTCCATCCATTTATCCATCCTTCCATCCACTGATAGCCAAGGCTCTCTTGTTTTTGAGAATGTGGCGTTTGTTTCTCAAAATCATCATGAATAAAATTCAACTTAAACACAAATAAACTTCACAATTGATTTGCACCATTTCTGCCGTTATCATCATCCTCCCTCCTCTAGCTGCATATATTTATCTCTTAAAAAATAAAATGCCTCTATCCTGATGGCATATTTTTGGTTTGTTTTTATTTGTGGTTGTGTTACGGTGTCAACACAACTCTTCCTGCAGGCATTTCAAATTAAAAGCCGTCATTCTGTTGTACTGATGGAATTAGTACTGTGGAAATTTAAACCATGCTGAATTTATCAAGACAAAGGCAAACATGGAGGAAGTGTTGAGTTTGCATCAACAACAACACACACACACAAAAAAAACCAGGATTAAAGCAGATACAATATTAAATAAAATAAAAATAAAGGCCTGGCTCTTGCTGCAGGTAAGGTAAATAACAGCAGAGCCCCACTGGGCTAAGGGTTAAGGTTATACTGTTGGGTAGTTTTGGTCTTGGTGCCCTACATTTTGTGATGCCCATATTCATTTCTCTTTATCAAAGGCCAAAGTGGCCTTGCCTAAAAAAATCCTTTTGTGCTTGTCTTCCTTCTACTATTATTAAAATAATGATGCACTGATACTTCTCCAGCGCGGGAACTGAAACAGGATTGGCCAGTGGATTCTACGGTCTATCTGAGGGACATGACCTGGGACCAGGGTAAGTACACACCATGTATAATGAACACATACTCAGCTAAAATAACAGTAGTAGGGACGCTAAGATGTTTCACATCTCACACAGAGAGTCAGTTATTTCTACTCTAAAGTGATGTACTCTGTACCAGAAAATGTGCTCTGGTGTAAACAGTGAAGGAAAAAATCTTCTGGCTCTGTCGTTAGTCTCTCCCATCATTCTAACCATTTCCATTACGGCATTAAGGCATGTCTGTTGGTGTTAATTTTAAGTTCTGTCTTCACTACAGTCCAACTTATTTATTTTTTTTCAACGTGGTTTTACAAAATGAACGCATTAATTCCTCTACTACCTTCAAACTCTCTATGTTTAAACTTGGTGGTTTATTTCAGTCATTCTCATACCTGCTGGATCCCAATGATAGATCAATCTGTTTGTAACTGTAGGATGAACCCTTTCCTCTAGTACCACCTTCAGGACTCACAGCTTTATTTATTTAGATTTATATTGTTTACATATTTACAAATGTTTTTTATTTTAAATGGTATGAATAGTACGAATCCACCTGGCCTGAACGCAAACAACCAATCACAGCCGAAAAAGATATAAAGATGAAAGGAAGATTCTTTGTTGTTGAGTCTCATTCCCAGAGTCCCAAAGCGTCGGTATTTGATGACCTGGGAATGAGACTCAACAATCAACTATCTTCCTCTGCTCTGATTGGTTGTTTTCGTTCAGGCCCAGTGGATTCTTGCAAATACCATTAGGAGCACTAGGAGGAGCCAGAGGAACCTGATTGTTTCACAGATTATCTGTCTCATGAACTACTGTCAGGATATAGAAAATAACTTTTTTATAAAAGTTACCTACTCCAGCTTTAATCTAGTCATTATACATTTTCAGTTACTGTATGTCACTTTTCAAAGCCATTAAATATCATTAAGTAAATCCATCTAAAATGTGTGTGTGTGTGTGTGTGTGTGTGTGTGTGTGTGTGTGTGTGTGTGTGTGTGTGTGTGTGTGTGTGTGTGTGTGTGTGTGTGTGTGTGTGTTGTTCAGATGAGTGTGTGTATACATATAGCTGTCGCTGTGGAGGAGGATTCAGCGTCTCAGAGGAGGAGGTGGAGGAGGAGACACAGAGGAGGCAGCAGGATGATGAAGAGGAAGAAGAGCACAGAGGAGTTGTTGTTTGCTGTGATACCTGTTCCCTCAGTGTGTACGTCACATGGTCATTACACACAACCAGTCAAATGTTAAAATGCCAGTAATAATTATTTGGAAACCTTTAACTGTAGCTCTTTAATAGAGACAGGTGTCTGAGACTCAAAATGTGAGCACAAGAATCTTGAACTGGATTCTGAATTTGATGAGAGGCCAGAGTAAAGAAGTCAGTGTTCCATGAGATCTTTTGGAGGAACTGGTCAGAAGCTTGGCAGCTGTATATTGGACCACAGCTCAGGGACGTGTTGCTGAGGCAGGTGAAGAGGGGATTGCATTAGCAGGTGGAAATAAACATGAATAATCAACTCCATCTCAGCTAGGGACACAATGGGCCTGAGTTTAGCAGTGTTCCTCAGCTGCTAGAAACAGGAGCCAACCAAATGATGTACATGCTGGTCAAGACTCGAAGGCTGCTCTACAGAACGTTCTCTCAGCATCTCCATCACTTCTGTCCTAGCACAGCACCAATAAAAGGGCTGACGGAGAGCAGACTGTGTGTATGGAGCAGTTTGTATGTTGAATGTGAAGGTGAATGTTGCTTAGCAGTGGCTTATCAGCAGTGGTAGATGTGAACACCATGCCTCTTACCGGAGACCTGCTCTTTAGCTATGGGCTGATTAATCCAATGATCCAGTTCATTCTCATCCATCTGATCATCCATGTATGATGAAATCGGTGTTTCTCAAATGAGGCTACATGTACCCCAACGGCAGCGGTTCCCAACTAATGGACCCCCACTAGGGTTTGCCAAAGCTTCGGGGGGGTTGCAAGGCCTTGTTGATTTTAAGGGTTGTAAGAGAACTCTAATAATATAGACAGACTTTTTTTTTTTTGGGGGGGCTTTTATTGCCTTTATGATAGTGAAAGCTGAAGATAGACAGGAAAGGGGGGCAGAGAGAGGGAATGACACGCAGGAAAGGGCCGCAGGTTGGATTCGAACCCTGGGCCGCTGCAGCAAGGACTCTTGAGCTAACTGGGCACCCATAGACAGTAGCCTTATATCTCACAGGATAAGGTCATTAAACAATGTCCAAGCATCAGGGAGAAGAAAACCCTGGTTTTATCAAGAAAGAACCTTATTAAGTGTATGATTGTTAAAAAACAACATAAAAAAACCCTACATGATACAGACAGAGAACTGTATTAGAAGTTCCTCTGATCACTATTTGAGGAAAAAAAAAACTTCTCTGGTGTTACACAAATGTCCTGCAGTTATTGTGTTCACTGTTTGGGTTCATTGTACACTTTATCAGGTATTCTACTGTTGTTGTTATGTATTTAATAAAAAATGAAACATCCATAAAATGTCCCTTTAAGTCAGTTTACTTAATGATAGAGAAGAACTCCCTCCTTTTAAATGTTGGTTTTACAAATACCAGTCATGCATAATTCTTGAAATGAGCAAACTATAACAAGTGCAATAGAAAACTGGAAATGTAAGTTTGATAAACCACATTTTATGTTAAATATTCTTATTTTTAATGCACTCATAATGCAGTAAAGCCACTGTAAGAGTTTGATCTCTCCAGTTTCTTCCCTGCCACAGACAATGACAAAGAGATTGAGTGGTTGATGAACATCTGGCAGGTTTATTGTAACCCTTTCTTACAATTTATGAACATAAAAAATAAAAAGAAGAAAGAAAGAAAGAAAGAAAGAAAGAAATAATTTTAACAAAAAATAAAATGTCCTTAATGTCTCTGTCTGGTTAGGATTAATTGATGTGTGAGGATTATTCATTATCTGCCCATTTTCTGAAAATCCGTTGTCAGTCCTAGAGGCTTTCTTTACCAGGCACAATGCACATTAATCAACATTGCAATTAACACTTTTCAATGTAAATGCAACAGTTAGCTAATAAGCTAATTGCCCTCCCTGGGCAGGTTCTAATAAATTAGTGCCTAATGTCATCAGTACAGTATGGAAGTTATTTCCGCCAATGTGACAGGGAAAAAAAGCATTATGTGCAAAATATTGACTTTGTGATGCTAGTCTAAATATTGAGAGCTTCAACAAGTACTACAATATAATACATAATAATAGTACATCACAAAATAAATATAAAAACAATGTTTGTAAAGGCAGTGCCAGAGGGAAGGCAGTAAGAATTCTCATGACTGCAAGTTTGGTTTGCCATGTCTTAAGTTTATGTGTAAAAGTTAGGTAGTTAGTGCACTCTGTTAGTTCAGAAGGTCGACTGTGGCACTAGTTTTTTTGCAACAGGTTTTTCTTTTCTTATCTTATCAACACAAAGCCCTGTGTAGGTGATACTTTCTACCTTGTGTGTCCTGTCAGCCTTTTACAGCATTGTGGATAGAGGTTGTCAGGAAGACCAGTGGTACCATCATGGGGATTGTTCTGAGGTAATGTGATTCTAAAGCAGCACAGGGTGATGGTTGGTCTGTCCCCCCGAGAGTCTACGTGTGAGGTTTTACGTGAGGGGCGTCTGTACACTCTGGGGTCCTCGCCACATGTCTGAACCTGCCTGCTAGCTGTCATGATGCTGCTCAGCATACCTGATGCTCATCAACCACATCACACACACACACGGTAAACCAGAAGATACCTGTTTCTGTTCAAAAGCAGAAAACAGATGTGGGAACATAGATAATATTATCCTTTCATCTTAATTTCAGAGTGCGGATCACTACATGGTATCATTATATGTCTCGTTTAATTCCTGTGTGACTTGAAGTGAGGACACACCTTCAAACATGGCAGGTATTTGATGCTACAGTGTCCTCTTGTATGTCAGCGTCATTGTCAGGTGTATCATGTGCAGTTTAGCCAGTGGGCTATCATAAAAACCCACTGTCATCAACACAAGGACGTCGCACAATGCACAGTGACCTGTAGAATATAACACCACTTTGGTTCCCAAGAAAAACCTGCTCATTTTTTGGTTCCAGCTGGGAACCAACTTATCGGGTTTTGAACGATTTTAGTTTTGGTCAAAATGCTCTGAACGGTTCATGACTAGGTGCTTGGACCGGAACGGATCTGGTTCCCTGTTAGTGGAAAAGGCCAATCAGGCCCCTTTTCCACCAAATTAGCTCTGGTTCTTGAACCGGTTCCGTTCAAGATTCTTGGAACCTTGGTGCTATCTAGCAAACAATCTAACGTTTCCAGTGGTTTTGAGTGGAACCATTGTAATTGGATGCATCATCAACAGAGGGCACTGCTCAAGAACTCAACAACCTGCAGAATATAACACACCCACTTTGGTTTCCAAGGAAAACCTGATCATCTTTTCAGGTTCTGAACATATTTATTTTTGGTCGAAATGCTCAGAAAGGTTCAAAACGATGTTCCTGAAACCGGAACAGTTTAAGCTGTTAAAAAACAACAGCTGTTCGTAAGAAAGAACAGCACACCCACACCCTCCCACCACATGTCTATCATTTATCAATGATAGGGTAAGCAACTAATAAAAGTTTCTAAGTTTAATTTTAGTAAAATCAAGGTCAGCACCATAGCAATAGCAAACTTCTGTTTGTTATATCCCCTGCATAAATCATATTCCTTCAACTTAGGATACGTTTACACTGCAACCCATAGTGCTCAATTTTAATTTATTGCTCATATCAAATTTTTTTTGTTTGGTTGTTCACTTTATGTTCTTAATGTGACCTGTATCAGATTCCAGTGTGAACAGGTCACAGTCCTGAAGTGACCCGCATGATGAATGTAGATCTAGAGTGACAAGTCACATGCATTCTGACATGATTGTTCATACTGAGGTCACACTGCAAAAAATCCGACCTATTTCTGGACCACATATGACAGTGGCCTGAATCTGAATTGAAAGAAAATCTGATTCCATGTGGTTTGTGCCGTTCACACTGTCATTAAATAGGATCTGAGTCACATATGAGCAAAAAAATGCGACTTGGGTCACTTTTGGCCTACACTGAACGCTGCCTTTATTTCAATCCATATTTTTCCCCACAACCCCCCGGCTGCAGTGGCTCTATGCCCCACAGTTTGAGAACCACTGGTCTACTTTAATTCCATACCAACTCCCCAAATTCTATAAATATATATGACTTATATATTTTGAAGTAAATCCTGATATATCCTAAAACAACATTTGTAAATGGATTCCTGTGATACTAATATTATAAATGAGTTTCTGTAACATTCAATTCAATTCAATTTTATTTGTATAGCGCCAATTCATAACAGAAGTTATCTCAGGACACTTTTCAAATAGAGCAGGTCTAGACCGAACTCTTTAAAACATTAATTACAGAGACATCATCAAGTAACTTCCCTTCAAACAGCATATTATAACTGCAACTACTGTCCCTTTTGACTCCAAATTAGGTATTACAAACAAGGTATGTAATAACACAGTGTATATGTATCAAGCATGATGTGAACATTTTTAACTTAAATCCAAAATGTTACTGCTGGGACAACACTGCAATACCAGTTGTCAGCAATAATATACCAAATCTCAAACATTTTCCTCTGGATCATATCTACAGTGGTGAGCTTTTTCATGCTGTTTCATGTGATTAATTATCACAGAAGTTGGTGTGAATGCAACAAAACACAACTAAAAAAGAGTCAAATCAGGAAAAAAGCAAATAATTTGTATAATAAAAAACTATGACCCTGAAAAATTATCCTGTGACCGCTTAGGGATTCTGACCCCCAGGTTGAGAAGCGGTGCCATAAATGGCAGAGCTATTCTCCTCTCTGCGGGGTTGCGACAGACACACAAAGGGAAAACGGCTGGTAATGACTCTGCTCTCACTCTGGTCACTCAGCCTGCAAAGGTCACAGCTGACAGAAGCTCCGAGCGATGATCATCTCTCATCTATTATCCCCCCACCCCCACCCCAAATCTATCCATCCATCCATATCTGCCCTCCTTGCAGCAAGGAGGTGAAGAAGAAGGGTGGAGGGCAGAGAAAGTTAGGGTCTGACAAGAAAGAAGGGTGGGAATTGTCCACTAATTATTTCTAATCCATAGCGTCCTCATGATCAACCACAGTGGTCAGTGGTATAGGACGGTTTCTACTGACACTCACTCACTGACTAACTGCGGTGGAGGGCTTTGTGTGTGTGTGTGTGTGTGTGTGTGTGTGTAGTGGGGAGGTGGGAGTGTGTGACAGCTGATGTTTAAATGAGGGGTTGGTAGAATATTGATGTGACAGACACACAGAGACGTGCTGGGAAACAACAATACAATTAAAGCGGTTTAGATCACTTTCTACCGAGCACCCCACCATCCCAGAACCCCACCCCTATCCTGTTCATACACTGTAAAATCTTATGATCAATTTCATTAAAATAACTAATTTTAATTGATCCTTTCTAAGTCCCACCCCTTTTTGCACTGTGCTCCAATAACAGTTGACAAAGCTTCGGTCAGAACCTCAGCCAACTTTCTCCTTTCCTGTACTTGCTTTGCCTTAGCGTTCAAATCTAATTTATTGCTCAAATCAGTTTGTTTGGCTGTTCACATTATTTTAAAGATGTGAAGAGCTATATCAGATTCCAGTGTGACCCACATGACGAATGTCGATCATAAATTCTGATATGAGTGTTCACATCATACTACACAGGTCAAATCTGACCTGAATCTCATATGCAAATCAGAATTGAAAATATCAAATTCCATGTGATTTTTCCTGTTCACACTGTCATGAAAAAATCTAATCTGAGTCACATATGAGCAAAAAAAATCAGATTTGGGTCAAAAGACAACCACATTTTAAAGATGGTTCAAATGTAAATGTGACATATAGTCACATCTTAAGTTAGCTAATGTTACAAAACACTAGCTAACCATCTAGCTAATCGACGTAATCAACATATAAAAGATGGGTAACATGACAGCTCTGCAAACATGACGCCAAAACATCTTGATCGCCCCCTGGTGGCTGACTGCAGAAGAGATCATAAAGCCTGTTGCTGCAATGTTAGATGGGCCAAACTAAAAAACAAAATGTCAAAATACATTGTCAAATACATTTTTCCCAAAGATGGTTTCTGTCATTTTAAGTAGTTCTTATCACGCTGATGTATGTTAAAGTGTTAATTTTTATGTTTTAATTGGTTACTTGGTAAATGGACCTGTACTTGTATAGAGCCTTTCTAGTCTTCCGACCACTCAAAGAGCTTTTACACTACGTGCCACATTGACCCTTTCACACACATTCACTCAGTGATGGCAAAGGCCATCGAACAAAAACTCATTCACACACTGATGCACGGCATCGGGAGCAACTTGGGGTTCAGTATCTTGCTCAAGGATACTTCAACATGTGGCACTGGGGATCGAACCCACAACC